ATATTAAATTTATTTTACTCAACAACATACATGCATATATGTGTATAATGGGGAACTAGTAGAAAATAGTGCAACATAATGAGATTTCAAATGGAGCAAGTGTTTTGGAGGATAAACCTTCATTAGTGCAAGTACTGAAAGTTGCAATCTATTTTTAGTTCATGTAAAGTCAAATTCCAGACATTCACTATCATCATTATTTCCTGTGTAAGTTTGAAGATGGTTCATTACTTTTCTAGCATCAGCTCTGTCTTATTTGTTATTTATCAGAGATAATCTAAGAGAAAGTAGATGATTGTTTTTCTCTTCCCACACACTTAAACAGATTGTACTTCTACTACAATAGTGCAATATGTTCCACCTTTCTAGATTGGAAATGAAAAAAGAAAGCTGAATTGTACTTACTTGTTCCAATTATAACCATCACTAATACACATATCACAATGCAGTATCCATACTTTATTGCACACATGCGGTATCTTCTTTCCAACATATTTTTTTATATGAAAATCCCAAGAGTAAAATTTAACAAAACGTCCACCAGTCTTTGCAATCTCAAATTTAAACCATCTTTTCCTCTCAGATCCCTGTACTACTAATCCTTGTAGTTCTGAAGAGCAATACCATGTTTGCTATTTTCCAGTCTTCTGGTACCCCCTCCCTCCCTCCCAGTTCCCCGTGAATTTTCAGAAATTGGCTGTGGCTTAGGAAATTTGTCAGCTAAGTATTTTAATGTCATAGGACACTTCTCATCCAGGCTTGCAAACTAGGATGCAATGTCTGGATTTTCTAAGCTTTCCTTTCCCCATTTTAGTTCCCTGTTTAAAAGCTTTTCCATGCTTCCTGTTGCCAAATCCTGGACTCAGGGAAAATGTCTGAGTAAATTGCCAGCCCACACAGCTATCATACATCTCCCTGTGGTGGTTGCTGGTGGATAGTTACAGATCTATTAATATCCTCCTCCCCAAAGCAATCTTCTGTGTTGGGGCACTGCAGAACCATGGTCTGCATTGTCAGTAGAAGTTACAGAAGGGGTCAGGATTGATAAAATATCTTAGGATATCTTAAAATATCTTAGGAGTCCTTCCTTTTTCAGGCAAGCAGAGCAGGGACAGGATGGATTGATTCCTGCATCAATTGCATCTAATGTTTTGAGTTAATCTTGCTCAGATGTTTCTAAGTTGTATATCACCATGGTGCCTAAGCAGACTCATGTAGACACTAAAGTTTAAAGCTAAAAGAGATTTCATTACATAAACAATTCTTTATGCACTCCAAATTTATCAGGACATCTTTAAATAAGGAATTTCCATGAACAATTTTAAAGTTTTTTAGTATATCATTGTTCTCTTCATATTTACTGCTCATAACCATTTCTAACCTTCTCCCACCTCCATCTTTCCTTTAACTTCATTTACTGTCAATTTTTCTGTCTTTGCTATTTCTGTTTTTAAGTTGATCTTTCCATGATCTTGTCTTTTCCAATTCACTTTTCATTCCATATTTGTCAGTCTCCCTTTTACTTTTTCTTCTCCTTTGTCTTTTTCTTGCTCTCCAAATCTCCTTTGTGTCATTTTCTTCTCACTTCGCTAGTCCCTCACTGACTGAAATGGCAGGTGGAATGAGCAGGAGCAATGTACAAATTGATTTGGAGAGGATCCATGACTTAGCTTGGCAGTTCCCTTTATAAGCAGACCAGTCATGGATTCTCTTTAAATCGATTTATGCACACATCTCCCACTCCATCTACCTGCCCTTCCAGACTGGTTCAGGGGGGAAGCACAGCAGCAGATTTTTGTAACATTTAGAAACGCATCCACATCCAGACCCTAGATCCTGTAATAAAGCACCATGTACTGCACCCCTCTCCCGCAAAGGGAGCAAGAGTTTAGAAATAGTTGGTACACAAAAGTTCTTAGCATGGTTACTCTTGATAAACTCAGATAATGGCTTCCTGCTGTTAATGAGATTTTTGCTGATGTCAGGCTGTGGCCTTGGTCTGCCCAGCACAGCTGCTCATCCTGGCATGCACTCTTCAGCTGATTATTCAGGCTTGGCAAGGCTGCTGGAAACCTTCATCAGGGCCTATCCATTTGCCTACTCCCTCCCACTGGAGCAGCTGGTTGGGGTCAGCTGACCTCTCACTTCCTTCCATGTAAACCCCTGCATAGGAACAGGAAAGTGTCCAGGTGACAGGGCTCCGCCTGGACATAGACAGCTTTGCTATGCCTTCCAGCTTGCACTTCTGCCTAGTCTGATATCCTTGCTTTTGGACTTTGCTTCTTGACTCCATGTTCTGCCTAATTATGACAATGTATTACCTTCTACAGAATTTCAAACTTTATCTAGTCATTGATTTAAACTATTTTTGTTTTCCATTTTACTAACATTTTTTCCCCAGTATTTTAGTAATTTAGAGTACTTGCCTCATAGTGCCTTAATATGATTTAGACTCTAGTGTAGGAAGGGTTGGACTATACTTCCAAGATATAAACATCAATATACTAGGAGAGGCTCTAAATTTAAAAATTGAAAGACAAAAACCCAAATATAACCCATATACCTGAAGCTATCAGCACCTAAAATGAGGTTGCTAAACGCTACTGTAATCCTAAAAAGATTGTTCTTTCCCAATTTTATCATTTTTCTCAATTCACTCTATATTTCTTTTCTTTTTCACATTCCTCTGCAAAATGGGACAGTTTAAAAATCTGTGCTAGAGGTAAGGAGAATAGGTCTAGCACAAATATCAAATGCACCTATGCCATTCACATCTTATTTTTCATTTACACTACTGGTGACACAATTCATTAATTTTATGAGCCTGAGTATTGGTCAAGCCAAGTTTAGCAGGAAAACAGGGGCAAAGTCTACCTCAACAATGAAAGGGCTTATTTAAAATTTTGAATTTAGCATAATTTTTAGTTGAGATCAACCTAAATATAATTTTGAACCTATAAATATCTAGTATATATTCCCACTGATTCAATGGTCTTTTCTTAATGCTTATTACAAAAAGAACCTGTGAATATCTTAATCTTTACTCAAATTCATCATGAAGTGAAAGCACCTTCTTGTTATTTTCAAACATTTTAATAATTTTGCCATGCTTAAAGTGGCTGAAAGTTTGGGGTCCAAGACCCAAAACTGTGGCTAAGAAGAGTTCAGTTCTCCAGCACCAACAATTTAGCATTTTTCAGGAATATTCAAGTTCACTTTAAAACTTGAACACTTTAGTCATAAAAGAACAAAACATTAAGTGATTTAAAAATATATATATTTATCCGTGTACTTACTGTCAGCTCTAAAAACTGATAGTTTCAAGCATCATGTTACAAATGCCCAGTGCTCTGGGATCAGTTACACAATGTTCTGGATGAGATGGACAGTTGATCTTTATACTTTTCCCCTTATACTTGCACAGATATTCATTGGCCTTCATAGCCTTAGTGCCAATAAAGGGAAAATAGTGGGGGTTTTGTTAAACAAAATAAGCAATTTTCACAAATATAGGGATTTGCTAAGACTTTTATCTGTGACTGAGATATGAGATTTTTCTAAAATTCCTTAAAATGCAACCTACAGCCCAACTGTAGGGTGCTAGAGATAAATGTGTAATGGGTGCGTGTAGTTGGATATGACAGCTTGAAAGGATGAAAAAAGTTATTTCTCTCCTCATCTTTTACAGATCTTTCCATTCCTACCTCCTCCCCAGGGAGCACTTTCCCTCCTACAATTCACACTTCCATTCTTCTTAAAAGTAACATTAAAAAGAAAGAAACAAATATATCTTGAAGGTTTCTACAAATGATTTTTGTGGGGTGTTTTGTAATGTTAACATTCACTTCTCTTTTTGAAAGCCATTTTATGTTATTGTGAGCTCTGAATATATAGCTGGGATTCAGTTTTAACCACGGCAATAAACACTATTTCTATTTGACCTTCTGCTCCCTGCCATCCACTGCAATTCACCTCTTTAGGCTTCAAGTGAGACAACATGATTGTTTACAGAAAAAACTAGAACTATACCAGATGAAAAGGAAATTTTAAAAACTTAATAAGGCCAGACTCTCGGCATAGGTGAGCTGACAGGACTTGACGGCATGCAGGTAAATCAGAAGAACAGGTTACACAGACACTTGGTTGTGATGGTTTAATCGGGGATGATCCTGCCTTAAGCAGAAGGCTGGACTGGATCACCTCATAAAGTCCCTTTTAGTCCTACTTTCCTATGATTAGTCCAAGTCAGGATCTGGTCCATATTTTCTTACATATTGCTGTGACTAATTAAGATTTAAGGAGTACTAGTATAAATTAACAATATACTGCAATTTCAGCCACCAATTTGGTAGCTAAGTTGCTTACAAATGTAAGTATACTTAAAAGATTGGTTTAAATATTTAAGTAATTACTTTCCACTCTTGGTTCTTTGAAACCTAGAAAATTGAAACTCTTTTGCTCTTTAGAAAGACATTTTGTTAAAGCCAGCTTTACAAAATTGAGTAGCACATGCTCTGTTTTAGTCTGACACAGTTTGAAATGTCCAAGATATGAAACTTAGAAAAAAATCAGTACTTCTGAAGGTGGCATTGACTATGGAACAGATATAACCATCAGACAAAAAAACAACAGCATGGCTAGCTACAATTTAGTCATTCCTGTAGGTTCTTTTGCATACATCTTTAAGAACCCAAGAACTTATAGGCTCTTTGGCACATAGTCAGTCACATTTCACTGTGGGTTTCACATTGCAAACCCACAGCAGCAGCAGCAGCAGCAGCAGCAGCAGCATACACATACATCCAAATGTGATTTGCTATGTATTTCAATCCAGCTACTGAGTAAGGACAAGCAAAGGTTAGTAGTAGGCTGCCCTTCAACAGCAACACCAGCAGTCACCACAGCAACAGCAGG